GCCGCTGCGTAAACATGCAGTGTCTACTCCAAGCGCGCAGCCCAGCCACTGCGTAAACATGCAGTGTCTACTCCAAGCGCGCAGCCCAGCCGCTGCGTAAACATGCAAACAATCTGCTATTTTCCTCATGCCAACATGAAATATCAATTATTACACGCATACACAGTCCATTTATGAGCACGTTACGGGCCACCAATATGTAGTATGACATATCCTGAGATATATTCATACATTAAACGGGTTCACTCATCTTTCTGGACTGGATGATGTCGTGCTTTGAATTTAATGAAATGTAAACGTGAGACGTCATTTATCTTTGACCCATCAAAATGAATGCGGTCATTTATTTACAGAATCAAAGTTTAACATCAAACATTTACATTAATTTGGCAAAATATGAAAATAACCACATAATCAATCAGCTTTACAACCAGGAAAATCATACGGCCATGATTTTCCGTTGCTTCACCACAGACATTAATGAAAACTGTACAATTTTCTAGCAGAAAGGAGAGTTTAAAGAGGGAAAATTGAGATTTATCTTACAGAGAGATGTGTGAGGGAATTTATCTGTTTTAACCAGAACGTGCACGCTCCTTCGGAAATCAGCTTGTCCCACAGTACACTTTTGGTGAAGGTCGACTTTTACCTTTTCTGAAGATAGATCAGTTCCGGCGTGGAGTCTCACTTCCAACCACTGTTCAGCGTCTCAGTGAGAACAGCCAAATACCTCGAGAGCCGTGCGATGTTATCCAAACAGAAGTTATAATTCCCAAAATCGTCTCTGGTTCAGCTTGTTTGGTTTAGCAGCATCCATGAACGCCTGCGTTTGCATTCACGAACTCCCAAACTCTCTGCATTCTGAACTGCGAACATCTCAGAACTTCTCAGCGCCTCACCGAACTTCTCAGAACTGGAGAACTAGGAAGTACCGGCATTTTAAAGAGCTCTATTCCCGGTCCATTTGGGAGTCCCTGATTGGGCAATATCAACCAGACAGGGGTGTGGTTTGTGACGTAAGAGGTTACTAGAAGTCAGAAAACAGCAAGAATTGTTATGGAACAGATTAAAACTGTTCTCAGAGACAGAGAAAGTTTGTTTTGGCGAGTTTGGAGAACAGGTGCCAACTTCTCTGTTGACGTCTGAGAGGATGTAAAAACAAGACAGTTGTTCCAACACGTCTGCTTCGACTCCTGACCTTGGAAAACGCACACTTGCTCATTCAAAGACATAAATCAGAAAATGCATAAAAATCTGTAACAGGCCTTAACATGAATTCTACTTTGCATAAGCAACCAAAAATCATTGTTACTGTTCTACAGTTAATAAAATTGATTAGTTCACTGTAACATCTAAAATGTTTGAACTAAAACACTTTGATTATCAAACATTTGTAAAACAGGAATGATAATAGAAAAGAGAGTGTTCTTTCACTTGAATTTTCAAGAAAGAAAGTCTCAGGATGGGTGAACCTGTATTTCTGGATTTGACATCAATGAAATGACAGTTCCTGTCCCACAAGGTTCTTAAGGTCAAGGGTTTTGACCTTAGGCTTAGTTTTGACATCAGGTTAAGTTCACTACAAACACTACCCTGTACTTAAAGATTAATGAAGAAGATTGCTAGCTAAAAAACAAAAGCTAAATTGAGCTTCAGGCTAGCTCAAAGCTAAACAAAGCAAAATGCTAGCTGAAGCAAAACACTAGCTAAGCGCTAAAACAGCTAATTTGTATGAAAAAGCAACATAATACTAGGTAAAACAGTTACGATACTACGGACAGGCTCAAATAAGTTTTCCTAGCTAAAAGCTAAATGCTAGCTAAGAGAAGTAAAATACTAGGTGAAAATAAAAAAGAGCAATATAATTGTTAAATGCAAGAGAATAAACTGCTAGCTAAAAACAAAACTAGCTACTTTTAAAAACAAAGTAGGAAGGTGTATAGATAAATAATAAATCAGCAGAATAAAAAAAATTAATATATTTTTAGTTCATAGTAGAATAAGTCTGAATAAAGCATAAAATTTAAATATTTACAGTTTAACAAGAATAAAAAAAAATTTTTTTTAAAGCACCCACAAAGCCCCGTGGCTAAGAGCTAAAGTTGCTACAAAA